TCACCTAAGAAACAGAGCTGATAATTTTACATGGACTCTTGTCGCGGTCTATGGGGCTGCCCAAGATGAGCATAAGTCCGCTTTCCTTCGGGAATTGGTAAATCTGGCTAAGGATAACCCGCATCCAATGCTTATTGGAGGGGACTTTAATATCCTTAGGTATCAGGAAGAGAAAAATAATGACCGTTTTGACACTCATTGGCCTTTTCTATTCAATGCTGTCATAGACAGTTTGGATCTTCGGGAGGCTAGTATGTCAGGACGGCAGTTCACTTGGGCTAATAACCGACATGTGCCGACATACGAGAAACTTGATAGGGTACTCATGGATACCGAATGGGAATTAAAATTTCCTCTGGTAACCGTGCGAGCCCTAGAGCGTATTGAGGCTTTATCGGATCATGCACCCATCATTCTGGATTCTAATTCTACGAACCCAGCTACCCGACGCCCTTTCAAATTTGAATTGGGATGGATGCATAGGGATGGATTTGTAGACATGATCAAGAATATTTGGGAGAGGCCCGCTGTTGGTCGTACACATATTCAGAGATGAAACTTTAAAATAAGGGCCATGAGGCAACACCTCTCTGGATGGGCAAAACATACCAACGGGATTTATAAAAAAGAAAAACAACGGCTCTCTACCATTATTGATGACCTCGACAAAATTGCAGAGACGCGCATCTTATCTCAACAAGAGATTGAATTAAAAAATCAATCTAATGAGAAGACTGCCCGTCTTCTGCGAGAAGAGGAGATCAAATACTACCAGAGATCCAAAGCCGATTTCATTTTGATGGGTGATAGTAATACAAGATACTTCCAATTGGTCGCTAATGGGCGGCATAGGAAGAAATGTATTTATAGTCTCCAACAAGATGAGGGGCGGATCGAAGGTCAAGAGGAGCTCAAAAATTATATCACCAAATACTACAAATCTCTGTTCGGAGCGCCGGCTGAAGGGAATTTCACCCTCGACGAGACCCGAACAGATGACATTCCACAAGTCACGGCAGAAGAAAACGATATTCTGACGGCACCATTCTCGGAAGAGGAGGTGAAAGCTGCGGTGTTCCAAATGGAACAAAACAAAGCTCCAGGCCCAAATGGTTTCCCCGCAGAATTCTATCAGAATTTCTGGGATATCATCAAGGATGACCTTATGGAGTTGTTCAATTGTCTTCATGCCGACCGACTTGAGCTATTTAGGTTTAATTTTGGCGAGATTGTCTTGTTGCCAAAGATTAAGGAGGCTGAACGGATCCAGCAGTTCAGACCCATATGCCTCCTTAATGTCAGCTTCAAGATTTTCACCAAAGTGGCTACGAATCGGCTTAACTCGGTAGCTAACAATGTTGTCCGACCATCTCAAACGGCTTTCATGCAAGGAAGGAATATACTTGATGGCGTAGTAATCCTGCATGAAACCGTCCACGAGATGCATCGGAAAAACCTAAGTGGAGTAGTATTCAAAATTGACTTTGAAAAAGCCTATGACAAGGTCAAATGGTCTTTTCTCCAACAGGCCCTAAGGATGAAAGGTTTCTCTGAAAAATGGTGCAAGTGGATCCAAAATTTTGTAACTGGAGGTAGTGTGGCCATCAAAGTCAATGATGATGTAGGTCATTACTTCCAGACAAAAAAAGGACTACGGCAGGGTGACCCCATGTCCCCAATGTTATTTAACATTGTGGCTGACATGTTGGCTATTCTGATTGAGCGCGCCAAGCAGGACGGGCAAATTGCTGGGGTAGTGCCACACCTTGTGGATGGTGGCCTCTCTATTCTGCAATATGCTGATGACACAATACTTTTTATGGAACATGACCTGGACAAGGCTCGAAACATGAAACTCCTGTTGTCAGCGTTTGAGCAAATGTCAGGTCTTAAAATTAACTTCCATAAAAGTGAAGTGTTCTGCTTTGGAGAAGCCGTGGAGGCAGCGGCCGATTACGCGGACCTGTTTGGTTGCGCACTTGGCCAATTCCCGATCAAATATCTGGGAATACCTAGTCATTATCGACGTCTCACCATTGCAGAGTGGAAGCATGTAGAGGAGCGGCTAGAGAAACGGTTGAGCAGTTGGAAAGGCAAGTTGCTCTCAGTTGGAGGACGACTGGTTTTGATAAACTCTGTCCTCACAAATATGGTTCTCTATATGCTTTCTTTCTTCCAACTCCCAAAAGGGGTCTTGCAAAGATTGGACTATTTTAGGTCTAGATTCTTTTGGCAAGGAGATGGTGAAAAGAAAAAATACTGGCTGACCAAATGGAGCGTGGTTTGTAGGCCGAAAGACCAAGGTGGCCTTGGAATTCATGACCTGCAGGTCAAGAATGAGGCCCTACTTAGTAAATGGTTGTTCAAACTTCTTACTGAGGATGGTGTTTGGCAAACCATGCTGCGCAACAAGTATCTAGGCCAAAAGGCGGTGTCTCAGGCATATTGGAAACCTGGCGACTCACACTTTTGGGCTGGCCTAATGGCAGCAAAGAAACAACTCTTTCGCTTTGGGTCTTTCACGATAAAGGACGGGTCAGAGATTCATTTCTGGGAAGACATCTGGCTAGGCAATGCCAGTCTCCGAAAACAATATCCAGCCTTGTACAACATTGCTCGCGATAAGAACAATACTATTGCGCAGGTGCTCAGCTCATCCCCGCCGAATATTTCATTCAGGCGGGATTTGGTTGGCGCCCGACTTATGTCATGGCATAATCTGTTATCACGTCTGGATCTGATTAACCTGACGCAAGGGCGTGATGTGTTTCGCTGGAACCTTACTACATCAGGGTCTTTCACGGTAGACTCTATGTATCGTGCGCTCACGCATTCTGAGGTACCGGAGAGCAATAACAAGAAAATCTGGAAGGCAAAGATTCCACTAAAAGTTAAAATATTCATGTGGTATCTTCGTAGAGGTATTGTGCTAACCAAAGACAACCTTGCACGACGCAACTGGCCAGGAAGTAAGAAGTGTTGTTTTTGTACTCTTGACGAGACAATCAAACACCTTTTTTTTCAATGCAAGTTTGCGCATTCTACATGGTCATTCATCCAAATAGCGTCAAATTTGTATCCGCCCACAAGTATTGCCAATATTTTTGGTCATTGGTTGGATGGTATTTCAAATAGATTCAAAACGCTAATAAGGGTGGGAGCGTACGCCTTACTATGGTCGCTTTGGCTATGTAGAAACGATTTGGTTTTTAATGACAAAAATGCTTCTCCTCTGCAGGTTATTTTTCGTTGTACGCACTCGCTTCGTATGTGGTCTATGCTACAACGTGCGGAGTACCTACCGCTATTCAAGGCGGTGTGTACGCGATTGGAGCAGGTGGCTATGGAGGTTTTTACCCAACATGGGTGGCAGCATAATCTCCGGATCGGTCCACCAACCGTTTCGACATAAGCATAGTGTCGGTCTGTAGGACTCTACTGTTGCCGAATTGTCGGGTTTTTTTTCTTGTCAGCTTTTTTTTGTTTGGCTGTGTGCATCCTAGTTATGCAGAGGCCGGGTGGTACTCTAAGTGCTTTGTATCGCTTGATGCTACATTTTGAGATAATAAAAACGCCCTTTATCAAAAAAAGCTTCTATCTTGCCGCCGGCCATGGTCTGGTCGGATGGACCTCACGGCATTGGTCGCGTGGATAAGGCAAGAGAAAATACAGTCGGTAAATTAGAAGGAACTTGTTTTATGGGTGGTGGGGTCCACAAATACAGCTGTTGGCGTTTGATTGGCCCTGCAGGCTACTGCGTGCAGGGAACCCAGCACGAGAGCCCGACCCTCATTACTTGATTAGTGATCCAAAAATGTTACTCCAAAAACAAACCAGACTCAAAATTATTTTTCCCTCGAAAAAAAACCTACACTAAAAAAAACCTAGACTCAGATTTTTTTTAGTAATCCACCTGCTACTATGTATGGAGTATGTACTACTACTACTATAAGAAGCACGGGGCACAACAGCGGGCATATATAGAAAGACATCATCAACTGTAACGTCAACAGATAAAAGGTAGACGGATCCAACAGATCGCCTCGAATAAAAAAAACAAAAGGGGCAGAATAATCGGAAATCCTTAAGATGGCCACGTACGGTGCTCACACATGTTCAGACTCCCTCCCTGACGATGAGGTAACTAAATCGAACACAGTGCATAGTTGTCCATGCAAGCATCACGAAAAGTGTTTATGACGAATTAAGAAAACAATTTTCTGACTAGCACTAGTTGCATGCTTGCATCAGTAATCAAAAAATGGTGCCAACAAAGTAACAAATTAATTAGTGTAGTTGCTAAAAGTGAGATTAGCTAAGATCAGTAGTAGTACATAAAAGGAATGTCGCCTAGTTGTGAGTCCCTTGTGAAGCAGATTTATTTGGAAATCATGGGTGTTGAGTAAAATTATTTTTTACGTGTCAAAAACTAAAGGAGCACTTGCACAAATTTAATGACTCAAGGTACATCGGTGCATGATTCATCAATGGACCATTAATCAAAGTTAACTGACGTAAGACCAAACAGGAGCATCTTCAGTATATAGCAACTAATATACTCCTAGTAGGTACTACCCGTCCACTTAACAAGAGTATTGTTTTTCCAACGGCATTCTACTCATTTAATCGGCAAATCACGTACACCCCACTTTAGCTTGGGTGCCCAGATCTATATAGGAGTATCACGCATAGCAATCCATTGCAATCTCGGATTCTAACAAACTCTGGCAAGAAGACATGCCGCACGAATCACGGTCTCATGCATGCGTAATAGTAAGTTAAGCAGCGGGACGACCATTAACACACAATTAGCCAACAAGCAATTAGCAACCCGCGTAATAAGAAGGGTCCCTAAAAGGAAACAATGCGTCACAGCGGCATACTGTGGTCATCGATCATATCAACCGTAGCGTCAACAGATAAAAAAGCAGAGTGATCCAATAGATCGGCCTGGATGAACAAAAGGCAAGCAACCAAATGGCCGTACGCACGTCACGTACCCTGGGCGCGCCCTGCAGAAACGCGGATGGAGGAACGGCGTCCATCTATCTGCCTCCGCGCGCGCGCGTGCTTCCTTGATGATTAGCGTCCTTGTCTGTCGCAAAAAACAACATCAGTAAATGGAACACCAGCCGATCCATCCATCGGGTAATTAGCATAGTACTCCCTCCGTTCCAAAATAGATGACTCAACTTTATACTAACTTTAGTACAAAGTTGGGTCATCTATTTTGGAACGGAGGGAGTAGTAAACAGATTCGGGACACATAATAATACCGCCGCAACGGCTGACCCATCGTCGATGAACTAAATAAAATCCACAAAAGTAAAACGAAACGCGGCGAAAAACACATCGGTTTTGCAACCAGATGAAAGCCATCTAGGCCTGCCATTAAGGATGAAAATGGAGTGGAAAGTTTCCGCTTTTCCGAACCAAAAATGGAAACGGAGAGGAAATATGAAAACGAAAATGGAAATTTGCAAAATGGAAATGAAAATGGAATTTTTTATGCGGAAACGGAAACAAAAACAGAACGGTGTTTTCCGGTGGAACAGATGTGGAAACGGAACTTTCCGTTTCTGTAAATATGGAATTTCCGTTTCTACTATAGATAGCCCAACTACCAAAGAACACACAATGACACAATGGGTAGAATGGGCAGAATTGATCATTTGAGGACCAACTTTTACTACCACACACGTACTCAACTAGACCCTATACGGGATTGTCATGTACTACTACAATACTATCCTATGTTGCTAATATAACCATATTATTTTGTAGTCATGTTAACAATTCCATAATTTTTTTTGTTTTTTGTTTATATTTCTCTACGATTCAAGGAGGTTTTAAGTTCTGGTCAACAAATCGTTTTATTTCCGTGTCCGCTCTGTATTCGCTCCATGTCTGTTTTCGGTAGTATTTGTTTTCGTATTCTTCTGTATTCGTTTCCGCTTCTGCAAAAAAAATATAAAAACAAATATGGTATCACCTAGTTCCGTCCGTTTTCGCGCCGTTTTCATCCCTACCTGCCATGGAGTCGCGGTACCAACTGATCCGCGCTCGCTGCTGCACGGCATGCGGCTCTCAGTCCCAGCCCTAAAAAGAGCGCACACGTACGCGGATCTAAAAACGGATCTACCTTGGAAAACACAGGAACGCAAGGAATCCTCGCAGGGAACATGCATCACCCGGGAATGGATCATCCAAATACGGGCCAAAAATGCTTGAGCAGCAGCAGCACCAGCAGCAGCGCGTGCAATAGATCGACTTGCATGCTGCTGCGGCGGCTGGCTAGTCGTGTAACGCAGCGGAAAAGGGAAGAAGATCCATGAAACGCAGCGAAAGCACAAGTGACGGAGAAGGAAACGCCCCACTCTTTCAACCAAATCAAAGCAGCTTTAGCCTGCCATGGAGTGACGCAGCAGAGCAGAGCGGAGCGGTAGGAACAGATCCGCGCTGCCGCACTGCATGCGCCTCCTCCCAGTGCCAGGCCTAGGCCTCCTCTCATCACGATCGAAACGCCAAGGGAACAAAACGGAGGAGGAAAACCGAATCGAACAACAGAGAGAGATGCGAATCCTCGCACGCATGCAGGCAGAAGAACAACAAAACAATTCGCACGCATACGAACGCCCGCTGTGCTCGTCGGAACCACTCACCGTGGACGTGGAGACGACGGCCGGGGCCCGGGGAGATGTGCCGTGCTGGCTCCTTTTTCTCCTCCCTCCGCGCCCTTCTCCGGTGACGGCGCGGGGATTATATAGGAGTGGCTAGGTAGGATGGGTGGATGGATGGATGGATGCGTGCGTGACTTGTCACGCGGAGGGAGGGACGGATCGCGTGCTGTGCGGCGCTGTGTGCGTGGAGGCGGCGTTTGCCCGGGGAGACGTAGCGGACCGGCTGGAAGGGCTATGCGAGTGCAGTGCAGGTGCCAACGCTGCCATGTGCGCCCCGGGACGGAAGGAAGGAAGACGGTGGGCCGCTCCAGTCAGGCCAACTCCATCGCACGATCCCAAATCGTTCGGGGTCGTCCGTTTGAGGTAAAACGGACAAAACCAACGATCCAACGCGTAACTCCATCTTGCCTTTTTGTCCGTTCAGTGTCCACTTCGACCCCATATCCAGAGCAAACTTGGGATGGATTTGAGGCAAAGCGGACAGCCGCGGACAACCCGTCTGCGTCCTCGCGTTCGCACATGGCCCGCATGGCAGCCACTTGCCCCTGCTTTTGTCCCCTTTCCCTCTCTCTCCTCTGTTGGACGCCGGAGCCGCCTGCCCCTGCGGCAACGAGCTCGGGGTGAGCGTGGCGTGGCCGGGGCGAGCCTAGGCCGGAGCTCGGGGTGAGCGTGGCGTGGCCGGGGCGAGCCTAGG